TTTCCATCCTGTTCTTAGGAAGGATTCAGCAGTAGCAAGGTTTTGGCAAGGTCTTTCTGCTATTTCCACAATGCATTATGGTTACTAATGTATTCTGGATATATAAAAACTTAGCTGAATACATAAAACAAAGATGCTTCTCTGGGGGACGGTGGGATAAGAGGGGTTTTTTTGGTTATTAATTTTTTCCTGTTTCATTGGTTTGTGAAATATAGAAATCTACATTCTTTTAGGCATAATTTCAAATTAGACAAGTTCAGTTGTTTTGTCAGACTATCAAATCTTTAATCTTTGGAAATCAGTTTAAAAGCTGAGGCGTATGTGCTTATTACTATACATGGCATGTACATTGCCTTGATCTGTTTTGTTTAAAAAGAAATTATGTTTTATGTAAGCACAGTTATTCCAGAATTTACTTCATCACTGATCTTAGAGAGGCTGTAGGATTTCTGGTTTTATTGATGAGTATGAATACTTGGATTGACTGTGTTAATTATAAAAAAAAAAAAATTTCGGTGTAACATATTTAGTCTCTGGTTTAGAAACAGAGTTGACCTTCGCGGGGGTGGGTGGGGGGAAGAAAATATCCAAGTTTTCAAAGAGTTTCTGTGATTGAACAAAAATCCAGAAATCTTTGTGCATTTTCCTCTATGTATCTTCCTTTAAAGTGGGATTCGGGTTTGTTTGGTGTATGGATTTGATTTTCTGAGGTAGCATTTGGGAAAACTGTTGCAACTACAATATTGCAACTCAGAAGAATGCTTGACATATGTGCAGCTTAAACACATCTGAAACAAGCTGCTGTAAGCAGCCTGGTTCTGTAGCCTCTAGAGTGCCAGTGAGGTGCATCTGTGCCTTCTCTAACTCGCCCAGGTTGCTTTTGTGTGCAAACCTACTATTTAACCCTAGTATTACTGTGTCACCTTTGGGCTTGAGGAAACAAACCTGAGAGTTCTCCTTGAGGGCATCTCACACTCAGAGTTATACCTGGCTCTGAGCACAGGTTTGGTAATGCCAGAGCAAGATGTGGTGGAGGCCAACGGATGAAGGTTCTCTGCCTACCGGTGAATGACATGAATGAAGCTCACAAAGTTGCACTAAGGAATTTTCTTGAAAGGTCAATGTATAAGGTACTTCACTTTAGACTTAATAATTCAGAATGTATCTCTCTAGGAATGCTACAATAGACTCAAGAACAATGTAGTTGAAAGAGGCCTCTGTGGCAGCTAGAACATGCATAAAGATGAATTTGTCAAAATATCTTACTCTATCATTATGCTCTATTTCAAAAAAAAAAAAAAAACAACTGTTGGATAGCCTTGACCTTTTCACTCTAGCTGTATACAAAACAATTTTTTAACCAATTCTGCTGTTCAGAGTTTTGCTGGATTTTCATGTAGGGTCTTGGGCTGTAATAATAATGGAGACCAATTTGTTCCAATGAAAGTATCTTGGGTAGCTTACTGATTTCAACTGTGAAGCAGGTTCATGACTTCTTTTTCCAAAATACAGATTTGTTCTTGTGAAAGTAAGATGCTTTGTTGCTTCATGGCTTAAATTTTATTTAAACATTTGGACCTATTTCATTTTAGGGGTACCAAGTGCCATCACAAATTATACTCAGCATTTAAAAGCTCTCTATTTCTGAAATGGGACAGGAAGTCTACATAGCTATTAGTGCAGGAAAACAGTGACCATCAGGGTGAAAAGGAGGTTTGTACCTTTCTTCACTGCAGAATATGGGCTGGAAAGTTAAATCAATGTAATGGCCTGCAAAATTGTCTGGTTTTGTTTGCAAAATAGATTTTTACCCCACTTGTCCTGGAAGTCACAGTGCACCTTGTGTTGGTTGTGACATATTTTGTGAGCAGTCTAAGAATTGCAGTGGAATGGGTTAAAACATCAATGAAAAAGACCACACAGCAGCTTCTTACTGAGTCCTAGGATTGCAGTATGAAATGTAGGTGTAATTTATGCAAGAAGAAAATGTTGAATGTTTGTTTAAGCCCCTCAAGGTTTCCATAAGGAAAACTTCTTAGACTGAGCAGATGAAAATTTGAAGCGATAATAAATAATTACTAAAAGCTTCTTCTATAAGGAGGCATACATTTTGTGCTGAAAATCAGATTTTTATATGAGAGGTAGAATTTTGCAGTGTAGAAATGAATGAATAACTTACACTTTTGTTACAGAAACAGTTCCAAGAAAGTTTCACAAACCAGCTGATGCATTGCAAAAAAAATTGCTCTTGGAAAAAGACATTTGCCAACCTTACTTAGCTCTCCACATTTGGAGGGATGCTTTAAACAGTGCCTCGCACAGCAAGGCTGGGAACCTGTTCAGTCAAATAGTTTACATTTGAAGTGTGCTAAAATTAGCAGGGAACACTGTACCTTAGTCTACTTGAGCTTGTGCTACATGGACCTGGTGTTGACCGTGTGGGCCCAGCAGTAAATCTGGTATGCAGTTAGTTAGTCTGCTGTCTTTTGCACGTGCATACACATGGATGTACCTATGCCTGCAGACAACCTCAGTGTATTATTTGTTGAGGAACCTGAAACACTTAGCTGTCACTTGTAAGTCCTTGTGCTTGTGCTAAGATTTGCCTTTAGTCAAGGAAAAAAGATTTTAACCATAGATATTTTCTATTAGATTTTTAAAAATCGTTTACATAGTATCTCAGTATTGCTCATCTTCAACTTTTTAAAATTTTATAAAATGGTGAATGAGGATACTCTATCAAATGGCATAAAAAACTTAATGTATCATTACCCATTATCTCCTGCAGTACATATTTATGAGCATGGCAGTGGTTTACATAGATATATATGTATGTAGATATATATAAATATATCCGTGTTATAAACTCATCATTGCTCATGATACAAATCACTAGTGCTAGCTTAACCACAATTTTTATATAGGTAAAATGTATTAGTCAATTAAACAGGAGTGTAAATATAGATATGTGTTTTATGCTTATAAGGGAATTTTTTTTTCAAGGAAGTAAGCTGTTAAATCATGTTACCGTAACAAATGCTGAAGGCTGCTTTTTCATTCATTGCCATTGAATTTATTGTTAGAGAGCTGCAGTCATATCCCATTTCAAGATTACTTAGGTGGCCTGAAAATTAAATCACAGCTCACAGATTCTCTTTTCACACACGATTAATAATAGTAAAATTGGGTCTAGATTTAAGTATGCTTAGCAAGATATTGCAGTGCACTTAGATGCATGAACTATGAAAGATTTAGTAAATAGAAAGTGATTTTCCATAAATTAACAATGAATTGGATAAAACAGAATCGCTGTCAATGTATGTGGAACTATTTTCAAAAGAACTATTTTGATTATTCTTTTTTTTTTAAAGTTGGGCAGTGTGTGGTTTTATAAAGTCCTCAGTATTTTTTGAAAGTTCATAAATCTGAAAGAGATCTTCAGGAGTGGTTACACAGAACTGGAAATACAGGCTCATGCTAGGTTACATTTTTGGGAAAGAATATGTCAAAAGCGTGAGTGTGTATGTCTTATCAACTAAATTATCCTTGCTTATTCACTTAATCTGAGCTAGATCTTTTATCTCTACATGTAGTTTTGCAATGTATATTGCTATCTAAAAAATCTAATCTCAAAAAGCTCTGAAAAAAGGTCATCCAAAGATGTCTCTAAAATGCAAGACATACTGAAACTTCTCCTGTTAGGGGCTGGATTGCATTTGATGAGCTTTTGGAGCTCTTTGGCTGGTTTGGTTTTAGCAATAAGAAATCTAGTTAACCACAGCAAGACTGTTGTACAAATGGATGGAAATTCCCTGTATAAAGACACCTGTATACATCTGATTTGTTTGTGCATTTCATTCAGATTCTCAAGCAAGCTTCTTCATGTAATTACTTGTGTTCCCCATATTGTCTATAGATAGATCCATCTCAAAAGGCTTTCAAAAGAAGATCTGATTTCAAAATTTTAGTGCACCAATGTATGTAGGTCCCATTGAAGGACTTCAAACATTTATGTATAATTTGTGTGGTAGGTAGGTTTGGTCCAGGGTAGCAAACTATTGTCTGAAGTGAAACCTCCAAACTGCACATGGTGTAGATAGAGCAATAATGACTTTAATGTATTGATCATCTTCTGTTGAGCTGCATTGCTTGTTAATAGTGCATAGCATAAACGAAAAGCTCTGGATTCTAGTTCACTTTTGTTTTCTTTTTTTTTTTTTAATTCTGTCTCTTCTGCTACCATCTTCAGTTCTCTAGAGTTAATTTCCAATATTGAGCTGTAAAGGACAAAAATATATCTAAATTTGAGGAAAAAAGGCTGTTTATTCATACTGATAGCAGAAGAAAAGTACTACTAAATAATAATTTTATAAACATTTTAAAAATATTTCCCTTTTGGAAAAGATAATAGTTTCAGATAGTGTGGTACATCTGGTCATGAAGGGGTTTTGAGGAGAAACCTTAGACATTTGTTACAGGATGGTTTGTAATCCTTTCTTTTAAAATACATGGTACTTGCCACTTTGAAACAAAAGTCAGAAACCTGTTGATCTCAGATATCACACAGCTTCATAGATGTTTCTCAATAGCTCACTATTTATTCTTTTTGCTGGATTTCAGTCTTCCTTGCATGAAGTTGGACATACTATCGAACATTTGATGTCATAGGTTTGGAAGGGTTGAAAAGTGAAAACACTCTGTTAAAAATTAAATATTTGTGCCTTCATTACTAAAGTATGTAATGTTTCTGCTTTTTGTTTGATGTATGTATTGCTGTTTTGTAAAGGGACTACTTAATGAGCACAGATAAGCTAATTTGATTATTATTGCTATTTGTTTTTCTTCAATTATCAATCAGTTAAGGTAATAAAATAAGCTTCACTGGAAACGTTGACTGAACCATAATGACTGACATTGTTTAGTTGTATCTCCTTTTTGTTATACACAGAACTAAATATATATGGCATTTTTACATTTAATGTACTTTTTTTTCTCCTTAGTGATCTTAGTGAAAATCAGATTCAAGCAATACCAAGGAAGGCATTCCGAGGAGCAGTGGACATAAAAAATCTGTAAGTATTTTTTCATTCTTCTCTATATTCTGATGATAATGCTTTGTCAATGCAGTGTCCTTTTGTTCTATCAGATATCTTTTTCCTAAGCACTTTTATAGCTGCTTAAGGAATCTCTGCATAAAATCAATACTTATCATTTGTTTTGGCAAAATACTTTAGCGTATCTTAAACATCCTAAAATTGCTTTACGTGAAATATAAAACAGTGAAACAGAGTTGAAGGCAAAATGACATTGTAGTTATTTGTTTATGGAATCCGAGTTTAGTATTTGAATGTCAGGCTATTTGAAACATTTATTTGCTTCATGTGGAAAAAATAATTTTTTGCCTTGGTTCTAAAAGTCTGCCTTTGGTTTGCTTGTCTAAAAGAAAGAAAAATCATGCTATTATCTGGCTCTGCTAGCATATATTTTTGTACTCTTGTGACTAGTTTTCTTACATGGTTTTTCTTCTGTGTTAAAATAAGTCTTTTCTGAAAGGTACTTACTTTCCTGGAGATGGTGACCCTGAAGTTCATGGGCAGGTTTTGAATTCTTATGGCTTCTTCTTGAAGATAATTAAAAATAAAAATTGTAAAGCCATGGCATTGCCACAAAGTCCAAATCACACCTGTGGCATAATTTTTACCACACAAAGTCCAAATCACACCTGTGGCATGTTTTTTATCGTGATAGGATAAATACTACAGATATTTCCTTAGTGGTCTCAGAGAGGGGGTGGAAAAAAAAAGGAAAAAAGCAACACCAAACCCCTAATCTGATCCCACTACAATTGAAAGTACTAAGAAACATTTCTTCACCCAAAGGGTTGACAAGCATCGGAACAGGCTCCCCAGGGAAGAGGTTGAGTCACCATCACCAGAGCTATTTTAGAAAAGTGTAGATGTGGCACTTAGGGATGTGGTTGAGTAGTAGACTTGGCAGTGACAGGTTTACAGTTGCACTCGATGATCTTACGGTATTTTCCAAAATAAGTGATTTAATGATTCTGTGAAGGAATTTAGCAGCTATTGGGTGATTAACCTATGGTCCAGGAGCCAAATACTTGTACATGGAGAACTGTCATAAACAGAATTCAATGTTTGTTCTAATTTCAGCTTTTCTCCTGTAATTGTCCAGTAGTTGAGCATAATGTTAAATATGTTTTATCTCTTCCAAACATATGGAAGAGATAGGTGAAGGTACAAAGAGTAAAGAAATCTGTATTAGAACGTGTTGTAAATCTGAGGTTTGCTTTGTGGAACAACAGTAATTACAGCAATTTCAATATAAATCACTGACTTTTTTTTTTTTTTTAACATGGAATGAGTGATAACCATCCTATACAGTAGTTCTAGTAAGCGGTTTAAAGGTGGTTAACAAATTTCACAGACCTTGACCTGATCACGTATTTTATGGTCCTGAGTGGAGACTCATCATTCTCTCATTCCCACCAAATGCTTTACATCTTCCAGGAGCTGGAATATTTTGGAAAACATCTTATTGCATTCTTCTAGTCTTTGCAGAGAAAAGGCAGTTGTAGGCAGCACTAAGATCCTCCCTTGCCCTCCTTCTTAAGAGTGAACAAATACAATTCCTGCAGACTCTCCCCAAATGTTACCACGTTCAACCCTCTCATGTTGGTGGTCCTTATTGGACTCACCATAGTGTGTCAGTCTCTGTCTTCCTCTGGGGAAACTAACACCAGATGCCATCTTACTAACTCAGATGTCATCTCACAAATGCCAAACAGAGTGTCTTAACTTCGCTTTCACCAATGCAGCCAATTGTTTGTAATAAATTAAGTTATTCAGTGAAAGTGACAAAAAATTAGGGAAGCTTATTTTGTAGCAGTTCCCCAGATGAGAAACTCAGGATCCAGTATTTTGGCAGTAAAAATGTAAGAAAAAAACCTAGCTGCTGTGTATCAAAGTCTCAGTTTTTCTGTTCAAGGAATTATTCTTGAATGACTTGAAGAGTAATCCACTTTTACTATAGCTGGGACTTGACAGAAAATAGGGTGCAAATTCTGGAAATACAGTTCTGAAAGTTACTCCTAACTTGCAACATTTTCAGGGACAAAAGTATTCACCAAGAAGTTAGATACCTCAGAGAACACAGTGACAGGCACTGTTTTTAAAAAAAAATAAATAGAAATTACCATATAAATGGGAAATTAAACACAAATTTTTTTAATATGCATGTTAATGCTGGTTTCATAACCCTCCCTGGTGATATAGTACTCACACTGTATGTGAAAGATGTTTAATATCTTCTCAACTTCAGGAATTTTGTTTGCATTTATGATGATAAGGAAATTCTTTAGGTGTCCAGATTATAAATTTCAATGGGTTGGTTTTTTAGTCTGGTTAGTAGGAAGAAAAATAACTGGGTTACAAACAAATGTGAAGCACCACTGAAAGAACTATAGCGCTATGCTCAGTTTTTTAGTTCATTTTGGCATTATGACTTGTGTAAAATTTTCTAAGATTCTAATTTTCTCTTCCTCTGTGTAATCAATACTTGGCAAAGGATGGAAATGAATACCCCAACACTGGGGCAGAATTGTGATGCTAAATATATGCAACCTCAAATGATATCAAAAATAGCAAGGAACATTTTCATCGTATCTCCTGCAACAATCTTGTGCTCTGATTTTCTTGTCATGCTCTAGGCATTAATTTTGATTACTCTCTTCTTTGTGTTCATTTGGTTCCATCTTTTTCCCAGCAAGTGTGGGTAGATGCCACCCCAGGAGTAAAGGTTGCAGGGAAATGTAGTGGCTTCACAGATTATATTGCCTGGGAAAATGAAGAATTAGCAAAGAGAGAATCAGTCACCATCATCCAATCAAAGTCCTTCTCATTATACTAACCTTTGTCTAAAATCTTGATTGATATTACTTGGTGTTGCCCTGATGCCTCTTTTACACTGATTGTGAAAGATTTAAAACTGATATTGCCACTGAAGTCATAACTAATTTTGTATTAATAATGGTTGGGAATGATTGGACTTCTTTTTTAAGTTCAGTGTTATTAGCTGTTGAAAAGTACATAGACCTGCTGAAGATGTTCTAGTTACTGATTTCTCCTCGGATTATTCACAAAATTACACTGTGACTGGAAGCATATTTGTCTACTCATCTGTAGAAGTGCTGATCTGAATGCACTGCTCACCTTAGACATGCTTTAATCATTTAGGATTGGGGTATTTCTCATGCTTGCTTTTACTGGGACTCTGAATTCAGCTGCTGGTCTGTTCAGCCACATGCAGCTGAAGGATTTTCCAGAAGGATTTTCACAAGTTGTTAGTGAAATATATTCTGCATTTGCTTAAGATTTTCATTAAAATCTAAAGTAGCTCTGAAGGCATGATGGAAAAAATACGTACACTTTTCTAGTGCCTCCTAAAGCTGTTGTTGCCAAACAGGTGGGTGACGTTGTGGCCTTTGGGAAAACAAAAGTTCTTTCTGACAGTTTAAATGAATAGAATTTCAATACTATTTTGACAGTTTTATTTTCATTAAAGGAGTTATTTCTTACTGATGTGATAGTATCTATGCATCACATAAGATATAGATTGTTCATTTTGTGTTCATTCTGCTTTTGATGGCATTCTTCTGTTTCATTTTGACTTGATTTTATTTTCCTCCTGTAAGATATTTCTGGGTTGAACCAAGTAGAGTGCTAGAAAATTTTGAGGGAATTGAGCAATAGAACTATAGATCTGTTCTCTTTTCTTTTAGTTTATTCAGCAAGTATGCCTTACTTGGATGTATTGCTAGCCTTGCTTGTTAGTTTGGGGAGAAAAAAATTTGCTATATTATGTATATTAAGAAAAAATATAACAATTTTTAAATGTTATACAGGGAAAATTTAGTAAAGAACAAAATTAACTGCATTAGCAAAATAAACTGCAAGTGAAAAAACCCACTTGACTTCCAAATGTATGAATACTCTCAATAAATAGTAATAGTCACGGGAAACAAGCAGTTCTTTGAAGTTTAATAAAAACTTAGAATAAATTCTTGCATGATTTTGTTATATCTTTTTCATCTCATTCCTCTGAAATTGATTCGTCTTGAAAATGAGAAGGGAAGTAAGAAATAGGAAACATAACTCAGTTCTGTTGTAAACAATACAAGGAGACATAAAACCCAGTGACCATTTCCAAAAATCGTATTGCAGTGATAAATATTATGCATTCTATTCTTTTCCCTAGGAAAAACTTAATGATATGACATCCAGCATACTATATGCTAAAACATTCATGTTTCCTGGGGAGGAAGCTATTGTAGGGATCTAGAAAGGCTTCTGACTTTTTCTGATGATGTTGTAAACAGAGTTTATCAGTAAGTTGTTACATGAGGAGAATGTAATACTTTCAGAACAAAGGAGAATTGGGTAAAGCTGAAGAATACAGGACCACAAAAAGTTCTCAAACTGTGAGGAACAGGAAAAATGTAATACTTTCAGAACAAAGGAGAAGTGGGTAAACCTGAAGAATACAGGACCACAAAGTGTTCTCAAGCTGTGAGGAACAGGAACGTCAAGCAGATTATTTGAAATTGTCCCAGCTTTTAACAGTCACTACAAAGGAGTAAAGAAGGTTTTCTCTGTCAAGAGTCAGATGACTTTTTGTTTTGGTATGAGGGTAGTAGTTTTTAAATGTATGCAGCATCTTCTGTTAGTCATTAAATGCTCTTCTTGTAGGGTAACAAAGTTTATTTTAAGATCTTTATTTATCATAATCGGGTAGACAACATATGCTAAAAGAGAAGAAAATGTAAGTTAGCAATAGTAAAGAAGGTTTTCTCTGTCAAGAGTCAGATGACTTTTTGTTTTGGTATGAGGGTAGTAGTTTTTAAATGTATGCAGCATCTTCTGTTAGTCATTAAATGCTCTTCTTGTAGGGTAACAAAGTTTATTTTAAGATCTTTATTTATCATAATCGGGTAGACAACATATGCTAAAAGAGAAGAAAATGTAAGTTAGCAATATGTTTCTATTATTTTAAGATCTTTATTTATCATAATTGGGTAGACAACATATGCTAAAAGGGAAGAAAATGTAAGTTAGCAACATGTTTCTACAGTGTAAGATGTATCAGCAAGAGCAATAAATCAAAAACATTTTAAAGAAGACATTTTATTAATAGTTGAATGGTTTTTATTTAGTTCTTGCTAGTTTTTATTGCTGAACTCACAATAAACATTAACATTTTAAGTAGCAGTAGATAAGTAACTATATGAAATGCTCAGGAAATGCTGCTAATATGGGTGCAAAATCCAATTAATTCTCTGCTATGATTCTCTGCGGCTTTTCAATGTGGCAGCTGTTGTTTGGTGTTTTATGAAGTTCACAGGAATGGCACTGCTGAAGCAGCTTTGTGAATGTTGGAGGCAGAAAGGAATAGCAACTTTACAAAAGCATGGAAAGACCCCACGTAGAAAAGACCCGAAATGGAGATGGGGCACGCAGGAAGATGGTGGAAAGACTGAGGAGAGGGCAAGGATGAGAGTGGGACAGAATTGCTGGCCTATGTCTGCTCAGCTTCTCTTCTCAGTGTTTTCTAATAATTGGAAAAGCAGCTCTTGGGGGTAAAAAAAAACTTTCTAAAATGGAGTTAGGGTTATTGGTGTACTCAGGAAAAGCAGCTCTTGGGGGTAAAAAAAACCTTTCTAAGATGGAGTTAGGGTTATTGGTGTACTCAATAACTGAGTGGTGAGAAAGGTTTCATTATGGTGTTGTAAATTTTTATGTGTGGTTTTGAAAGTCATTATGTTTAAACCAAATTATAAAACATAACTTAAAATTAGAGATGTGCCTTTTTATTTCTAGTATCCTTGCTTATTTCTAAAGTCATAGCACTAGCACAACTTGCTATCAGGAACCAATTTCATCCAAAAAAAGTTCAGGCCACTTCATTATATCTGCTAGAGGGACTTCATAAGTTAGTTTTATGCTGGTTGTGAAACATTGTCTAAATTTCTGTTTGGGTTATATATGCATTGTATAGCCTTACCTTAACCTTTACCCTTATCATAATTTGCTGTTCAAGCCAGGCACACAGTCTTCAAAGTCATGTCCCTTTCATAGCTTTAAAAAAATAATATATATATATATCACCTAATTGTTCTTCATGGTGTCTGTCTAATCATTTTTATATCATGGTTGTAACTGATGGAAGACGATCTAAAATATAAAGATGGTAGTATTTTTCAAAGGCAGTAATTTATAAATCTAGGAAATATTTCTCCTCTCCCAGCTGCAGAATTCTCTTCCCCAAACCAAAACCAACTCATTAGTTCAGTACAAACAGAGTAATCTTTCTGGTAAGAAGGTTTAAATGAAAACAACTCACCCCTCACTAAGGTAGTGGTAATGGTGACTCATTAAAGTAAGAAGTCCAAAAGTTTCGGGTGCACCACAACTGCTGCCTGTCTAGTTGAAGAAATCTGCTTTTCAGTTTGTGTAAGACAAGATTTGCTCAAGTGCTTTCTCTACTGTTAAAAGATTTTCCTTTGTGTATAATATGGATGATTTAGAAGAAGCTGTGTCAGCACTGATTTATACATTGACAGCTAAGGATAATAAGATATGGGCAAACATACAGCTCACCCTTTTACAGATTAACCTGCAGACTGCATTAGGCAAATTTGATGGCATTAAAAGATTTTTCCAATTTGTCTGGAAACAATTTCTCTTTTGTATTGTGTCAAGGGTAACATTTCATGCCATTGTACTAATTTAAATAGCTTTGATAAATTGTTTGAGAGGTTACAGAATTGTACTGTGTATATATTTTACCTCTTTAAAATGAAAAGGCTATTAGCTTAATTGTTAAATGAAATTCATTAGTAAAAACTGAAGGAGCCTGAGAAAGGAGGCTTAAATATTCCAACACTGCAGCATTGGTTCTGTAACATTGCACCAAAATGATTAAAGATCATATTCAGGAACTGATAGTTTGCATTTAGCTTTCAGTACACAGAAACACAGGCACTGTTACAGTTATGACAATATTTTATTCCCCTGTAGTAGTAATTCTGATGAAAAATATTGATGAAACTAGAAGAACTTTACAGAAGTTGATGCATTACGTTCAGCAGTGGGTGTGATGATTTATTAATAAAGTAAAATGTTATCACAGATTCAGAAGAATCATAGAAAATTCTTTAGTAAAAGCATCATTAGCCCTGATAGCTAATATATAATTGAAGACAGAAGGGGCAGAGTTCATTTGTGTTTTGTTCATTTTCTTAGTATAGTTCACACACATTTACTTGTCTATATTATTTGACACTGACAAGTTACCAGCTTGGAGAAGTTGTTTAAAGTGAGTTTTTATCATCTTTGCTTTGCAAGTCATGCCCTGAAATGCATAAGCCATTTAGGTATTTAAAGGGAAAGTTTTTATCAGCAGAGAAATTGTGCTTCTGAATTTGCATGGTAGTTAATTGAAGCAGACATTTTTTAATTGGGCTGTATGTCCTGTATCAATGTTTAGAATTGAAAAGGTAATAATGATATTCTTCAGAGAAACGACTGTAAATTTTTCATAACTTAATACTTAAGGATTAATAACGTATGGGATGGATTGCTGAATTTTATGTCCAGAATTCAAGTGCTCCATTACAAAATACTATCTGCCTATAAGTGCAGAGAGCACAAAGTACATAGAAAACCAGATACTGAAGGTTACTAGTTTCATTTGGAGCAGAATTCAAGGAGATCAGTAGCAAAGTCTATAAATGCCTCAGACAGTGTTATTTCTACGTACTGACATATTCTGGAAGGTAATTATTCTAAATCCCCACACACACCTGGGGGTAACACCTCCCACGGGGCAGGGAGACCCCTCCAAGGGTGTCTCTCCGCGGTCCTGCCGCGGTGGCTGGAATTAACATGCAGCTGGGCTGCTCTGATAAATGGATTCTGTTAGGTCACCGAGGGGATGTGTGTGACATTAAGTGATTTACCGTCCTTTACCTTAATGAAATTGTTTCAGCGAGATGATGCTGAGAGCTTTTAATGGATAGCTTTTCTTGCCGTAATGAAATTGCGTTCCTTTGGCATTTAATAGAAGGTGCGGTTATTATTTACTGGAGCTTTCCCAGCACTGCTGTTTTGCGCAGACAGTTGAGAACAAAAAGGGATTTCTGTGGCAGCCTCGAGCGGACGGGAGGGATGGCCAGAGCCTTTCCCTATGCGTGGCCTAGCTCATCCAGCCCCTCGGGAGGTTTTCCTTGCACCTCGCCTTGCCAGAGCTCCTCTCCCTTACAAATGCCTTCCTAATCTGTTTAACAGGCAACTGGATTACAACCAGATCAGCTGTATTGAAGATGGGGCGTTTAGAGCTCTGCGTGACCTGGAAGTGCTGTAAGTATTCCTTGTATCTCATACTTGTAGCAAGAGCTCAGTATCTGGGGAGTACTAATGTAGAAGCTTATCTGCGAGCTGCAGCCTGGTGTCAGGAGGGTCTAGTGAAAAGATGTCTTAAAATAATCCACTGCGATGTGCTATGAAATGGTAAAAAGATGTGGAGAGGCAGAGATGCTCCTTTACTCTGCAAGACAGCCGTTAAGCATAATTTTTTGTTAAAAAAAAAGAAAAAAAGCCATTGACAGATATTGTAAGAAAATAATATGTTTCATTTTAAAAGGGGGGAGGGCAGCAGTATTAATGAATCCAATTAATTTGGTAAATTATCAGTCACTGTTGATGTGCTGAACATTTTCAGGATTGCCTTTGTTGTATGCTCTGACATCAATTTGATCTTTCAGACTCTGTTTAAGGAACAATATGCTATATATATATTTGACAACCTGGATGGTTTCAAAGAGACACACTCTATCAAACTACTGCTATATGTTAAGATATTCAGCATGTTCATGTTAATAGTCTTTTTTAAAACATTTTAAATTTTGTGTGCATACATGTGTGTGTGTGTAGAAAAATATCTACTTTTATGTCACAGAAGGTTATTATTGCAATACTCCTTTGCGTACTTTTCCTCACTGTCTCAAAGTGGCCATCAGTGAGGTTAAAGGTAACGAAATTATCATCAGTGACCTCTGATCTGAGAACAGTTACTGTAATGAGCAAAGTGCCTCAGTTCCCAAAGAATCTGAGGCACAGGAGACATTCCTGAGATATTTACTCTGTCAGTCAAAATGACACATTTTTTTCTCCATTTTCTACATTAAGAAAGTGAAAGAATTTGTGTTTCAATGAGTTACTTCATGTTAATTTGCATCACACTTAGTAAATCACAACAACTTTTACTTCATGTTAATTTGCATCACACTTGGTAAATCACAACAACTTGAGAGAGTGAGTTTTGTTGTGCTTGGGGTTTGTTGGGGTGGTTTTAAATACTCTGAAGTAAAGAGGCTTCTCTGGCAATATAGTATCTGCACATCCAAGAAACTAAAGACTATGTGAGCAGCTGGTGGTAAAGTTTTTATTAAGTACTAGTTGGTCTTACTTATGAGTGAATGAATCTGACAGCTAAATTTGGTATTTTTTTTTTTTACTTTGCCATCACAGAATAACAAGCCTATTGTTGTTGGTATAAAGCCATGTAAAATATACTGTAGGTTCAATACTACATTTAATTGTTAAGTTGATGAATTGTTGGTTGTCTGTCAGTAAACCTGATGATCTGTGACATTTTTATATTTGGAACTCATATATGTGACAGAATAATTTTTCCAGTGATGGTTTAATCTGGTTATTATGGGCTTTTTAATACAAGCCTTCTTTACAAGTACAAGTGTTAAATGTTTGTTTAACAAAAAAAAAAAAAAATCAAGTATTTTCTGCATTTTTAATGCTTGCAATTTGAGTGTTCTAAAAAGGTCATCCTTGCTAGGTCAGTGGTAAAATTTTGACATTGATTTCAGTGAATGCAAAAGAGGAAAAACCCTCTAAAATAATAATCTGCTGAAAAGTAGGTAGTTAGAATTTTGTGAATGGATATACATAGTATATTAGCATTGTTCAAATATGCAACTGAACATTCACTATAATGAATTATGTTGCATGCTAAGAAATGATGTAAAGATTCATTTTGTAAAAAGGAATATTGAGATAGATACTTCAAACAGTACTGAAGATTTTGTATCTAATTCAGCTTCCCATCCGATATGGCTTAAAGAAGGAAAGATGTGTATTTCAGACCATACTGGATATGCACTGAGTAGAAAATAAGACTATGCATTTTGTTTTCATTTGGAGTTAATTATTCTAAGCAGAGAAAGCATATATTACTTCAAACTGCAAGTATGAGGTAAAGCTTTTAAGCAGGTCGTAATCCTATTTAGTGACAGTTTGAAATGCTTACCAAAGTAACAGGTCATATATTGGTTAAGGAACTGTAGAATTTTAGAGGCTGTTAGTGTTAAAGTCACAAAATCAACCTGAAAGGCAAAAACAGTTAGAGGTCTAATCCTCCCCGTGAATTTCTGTGAAATTTTATTTTTCCTTTATCTTTTTTTATTTCCTTTTTTTTAATGGAAAATCTGCTCTATTAGGGAAACAGACCATGGGAAAATACATAGTGCTGTCATGTTAAAAAAATTGAAGTGTCTAAGAAATGGGGAAAAAGTCAGTTTTAACATGTAGGTAAAAGTATTGAGCCAACTTTTTTTTTAATTACAACTTTAATGAAATCAAGCATTTTTATAATCGGATAAAAATGGCTCTAAAAATTACTTAATTCCTTAGGTATCCCTTGCATCTACTCCTAAAACTAGTTTTCGTTACCCTTGCAAAAGTAAATTAATAGCTCACATATACAAAGTAACAAGACAAACATCAAACTTCTAAAATCAAAAAGTAAAGCATTTGTAGATATGCCTCTTATTTGTAGATATGACTCTTAACTGCTGTGGAACATGGACTTATTTCCCCTTCACTCAAAGAAATGATTTTAAAAACTTGTAAGAAGTTCTGAAGGAAGATCTGTAGGAATTGTTTTTTTACCATATGGACATTGTAAGAAAATTCTGCCAAGATTTACCGATATTTATTCATTAAAACACCTTTTGTGGATATACCCACTTGGCCATTTTTTGTTGTTTCATTTTTGTTATGTTTTGAAAAAGGGCATGACTCTCTTTTTTTTTCCTTCTTTTTCTTGATCATTTTCCTCTCTGTTTATGTAGCCCTAAGAGCACACAGGGCTCTTATACAGCCCTTATACACAGCAAAGGAAACATTTAGGGCATGCAATGAGTAAGCACACAAAGGCAAAATGCAGCACATTGCACCAGTAATTAATGGCTTGGTAAATGTGGTGGTGTATAGTCTGTTCAGGTTGCTGTGAATTTACCCTTCTGTGTTTCAAGATCAGAGAGTACTTAAAAATTTGTTCAAAATAGGCACAAATTACACTTTGTGTTTAAGAAAAAAAAGGGGGGGGGGGAATGAAACTACTTTCTGTGAGAATTATTTATTACTGTTATAGTTATGCAGAGCTCATTCTGCTCAAATGAGTAATCTCTAAGTCAAAACTGAAAATTCTATTTCTTGCTTCCTTGTTCTGGATTAAAGCTTGTTTGCATTTTATTTGCAGCCTAGAGACAATATTTAACTGCAAGTTCATTCATAAAGTTTCGGTATCTATACAAACTACACTTAGGAATATGACAGGTCTGTGGTAGCCAACAATTGGCTAAGATTTCTTTTGAGTTCCTATACCATGTTCACAACACCTTGTCTAAAATTTAAGTTAAGAGTTTACTAAAGTATAATTCCTGACTCCTTCCATCATATAGCAGAAAATTTCTTATTGTTCATGCAGCTCTGGCTCATTTACAGCAACCCATTCCATATCAAACCTATCTGCATTCCAGAGTTCATATTTTCCCAAAATTCTTAAAAAACCCCATTCAGATCTTGTATCATCTGTCAAAAAACAGACTCTTGGAAGCTAAAAGTAGTCCTAGAACCAAGATACTTTCTCCAAGGACTCTCTTTTTTACATCAGAATGTCAAGCTTAGCACCACAAATGCCATAGATGTTCTCAACATTGGTGGAAGTTACTTTCGAGTGACTCATAGGCTATAGGACCTCAAATTACTTAGGATTATTAATGGGAAAACCATAGTATTTTACTAGGGATGCAACAGGGAGGAAAAATATAGCTAAAAGCATGGACTTTTTCCTGACACCCATCCCTAAAAACAGTACACCATGACTTTCGTTAGCTGTGCCTTTCTTAAAAGTGTAGTAAATGAGACACAACTGTAACACGTTAAAATGTTTCTTTTTGACTTTGCAGCACTCTCAACAATAACAACATCACTCGACTGTCCGTGGCAAGTTTCAACCATATGCCCAAACTCAGAACATTGTGAGTAGTCCCACCAAAACTGGCTGCCATTTGTATCAGTCCAGTATATTATTTTTGCCTCTCCTAAGTTTTGTCAAGGGGTGTATAAATACATATATACGGGCAAAGCAAGCATAAGCTCAGTTAAAAAATACTGGATTGCTATGAAGTTGACAAGTGTGAAGTCTCTGTGTGTGTGTGTGTGTGTCTGTGTGTGTGTGTGAGCTAATTCTGAAAGTAGTTGCATCCTTTTCCATCAACTTTTTTAGGATGGAGGATGAATAAGACTATGAAAATTGTTTCATGGCCTCTTCCCAAATGGGTTGTCCATAGTGCTATATTCAGGCACAGAAAAGCTTCCCCTTCTAACAAAAAAAAAAGAAAAGGTGAGGGCAGGGATAATTCTTTTTCACATGTTACAGCTATATAGAGAAATAAATTGATGTTTTTTGAAAGTCAAAAATTTGTTTTACTTTGAGCTATTGAATGGGTCACATTTCATTTAGGAACATGGAAGAATCTTTGATTGGCTGTCAGATGTGATAAATGGGAAATCTTTATGCTTTTATTACTGTACTGCTAGCAGACCTAATTAAACTAAACTGGCTCACCAACATTCTTTGTAACAGAAAATTATAGCATCATCCGGTGGTGCTATTATAATTAAACTTGTGTCAGCATTTACAATAAGGTCCCCATTTTTAGAGGTTATGACTTTCAGATAGGAATACTTCAAGCTTCTGAAATAAAACACAGTCAAGAGAGTGTGTATGCAAGTGATATGGTTTGGGATTATTTTTTGTTATGTTTATATTGACTAAGAATAAATATATATTGTGTTGAGTGGCAAAACCAGAATATATCAAGGATCAGGCCTGAGACTTTTAAACAGATTTTCTGGTGAATTGGAATTAAAAATGAAAGGGATGTTTCTATCAGAGGTCAAGAGTAGCTGTTGCTGTTAAAGAACTACAAAGAGCCTGTCTGTTTTCTTTGCTGCATGTTGGGTTGCACAACTTTGAAATAAGTAGGGCTATTCACCTGAGTTAACATACTGTTCATAGCTGAAGACACTGCACACAGGTGAGTAGTTCTATTGATTTCATAACAGAATTGTATCTATTCTTGCTTGGATAAATACGAGAATACTTAAATAGTGCTTACCATGGGCTTTTGGTGGCCTCAGCTAGATTTTGATAATAGAATTTGATTCTATTCTCCTAGGTCTGCGTCTTGAAAACGTGCATGTCTGTACGTCTTTCAAACCTTCAAATACAATTTCTGTTCTGAACCACAAAATACAGTGAATCAAATTAGCAACATTTACTTCTTTTTTTTTTGGGTTGGGCTATTTCATCTTCTGAAAATATATTTTAGAGACAGAATGAAATGGACACACAGGCTCCCAGATTATAGCTGGAACATCCTGTTTGCAGTCAGAATATGCTTGTATAACCATATTGATTTCAGTGGCATTAGTTCTGATTTGCAATGGTGTTGTTGCCTACAGCTGGCCGCAGACTGTACTGAATGAGTGTGCAGTATTTTGAGCTATATTTGCAAAGCACACACCAAGAATTAGTGGAGGAAAATGCATGGCCTGTAATTTCTAGTCATTTAAGTGTTGAGGTAATATTTTTGTTTATGTTGGTTGCACATTTCATGTTGCTTTGCAGATTTATGTTTGTAACAAATTAATTAGACCCCTTGTCTAAATTCTGAATTTCTTGCACTTCCTTTCCGGTTATTTAGTTAGGATTGAGCACATTAGCTAAAATGGGCCAAAATGACATTATCCTGTTAGAGATGATTCTGAGTAAGGATTTGATTTATAGCTGTGGACATACTTTTCTGTAGTTTGAGAAAATGTAAGGCAGAGAAAAGTAATCTACCTAATTTAGTGGATACATTTGTCTGATATTTTATCAATGGCAAAGTGCTTTTTGCCACTTGGCAAGGAGCCATGGCCTCGTGTCAGACCATGCCAACAGAGAGACAACTGCTAATTCCATCGCTTGCTTGCATTTGGTCTTTCAATTTTAGGCATTGCTTAGAACGTAGGTCCTTATTAGCCAAGAGCAGCTAATCCCACTTTCTTCAATTACACAAAAAGAGAGGAAATCAGAAAAGAGATGTGAAAGAAGGTGCTTTATATTGAGTTATTACTCTATTTTGTTCAGCAGAAAATGAATATGACCTGTTAAAGGGATCTTTCAGGCTGTTTCTATAGAGACTAATAATGGCCAGACTTACAGATACATCTAATTGGAAACCAAATATTTTATTAACTCTTTTTTTCTGACAGTATATTATCACTGTAGGGCAATTTTCTTGAGACATTTTTGTCTTACTCAACATTTGTACAGATCTAGACTAAAGAGTCTCAGTGTAGCTTTCAAACTCTTGTATATTTACTTTCTTTTAGAGACTAGAAACTATAGACAAGTTAATTTATTAGGAAGCCTTCTTTTTTTTCTGCTACTTAATTAGACCACAAATAAAAAGTAATTTTCTGGCTTGTATGGTTTTATTTATTAACATTGAACTCCCAGACTTTCAGTAAAAGATGTAAAAGATTGATTCCTCATTAGCAGTTTTATTAAAAATTGGCAGAGTTGCTTGCTAAAGGAAGGGCTGGGCAAATTGGCTCCTTTTCTGTTGGTTCTTCCTAATTTCAAGGTATTGACTTGTTTCTTTCCGTGCAGTCGTCTTCACTCCAACAACCTGTACTGTGATTGCCACCTGGCCTGGCTGTCGGACTGGCTGCGGCAGCGGCCGCGGGTCGGGCTCTACACCCAGTGCATGGGGCCGTCACACCTCCGGGGACACAATGTAGCTGAGGTCCAAAAACGAGAGTTTGTCTGCAGTGGTAAGGGAAACAGATTCTCTCATCAAATCCTGCCTTAAAACACACCTACCGACAGCTCAGCGGCAACTGCTAGCGCTCCATGCTGACTTTTGTTGCTTTTGCATAACCCAAGCATTAATGTTTATTAAAAAAACCAAACTCCTTATCATTTTTATCAATATTTGTATCTTGTGTGAGGGTGCTTCTATCCTTACAAATATTGTGTAAACGATGCCTTCATATCAATTATGTAGCCTTCTAAAAGTATAATTCTGGGGGAGAGATACAAGAAATTAAATAGAGGGTGCACTTGCTGAGAACATAAAGCCTTTGGTAATAAGGGATTATTCTTTTTTGACTTTACAGGTTGATGCTTTTTCTTGTTGGTATTTTCTGCCATTTGAATACTATTCTGAATCCCTAAGTAACTTTCTGAATGCTATTGGCATGCTTTAGTGCATCAGGTTATTTTCTGATAAGAAAGAATGAAATGACTAACAGTTCATTACTAATCATATTTTCTCTATTCAATTTTTTTTCCTTTATTCTTATCTTCTAGATGAGGAAGAAGGCAAGTTTATCTTTCTTATTTAAATATTTTTAGACTCAGACTGAATTTTCTGTAAACTTTGTCTGCTGTTTCAAGCTTCCTCAAGAACATTAAACTATCTGCAGTATTGCTACCTGTCTTTTCAGTGATTCAGCAAGGTCTCTTCCACTGGTAGATTTTCTGCAAACCCCCAGAAGTCTATTGCCAAATATGCCCAAATTTTCATAGATCTATGCATTTCAAAGAGTTTTATGGAGGGCACAATGTTTTGTTCTTATTAAACAGCCTCTGACTTCGAAGTGTGAGGCACTGTCATCTTCACATGACAAATGCTAACAGTAATCTTGCCACTAACTCTGCCTTTATGTACACTTAAAAGGGCTCCTAACAAAATCATTTAATATCTCTTATTTGTAAATGGCTAGAGAACAGTTTTATAACTTGGCCATTATAATGCTGATTATTAAAAAGGGGAATAACCATGTATTCTCCCTGGATCACTCTATTTTTTTAATAAAAGCAGGTGAAACATTTCATCCCTCTTAATATAAAAGGAGTGGTATGTGTTACTAGATTTGGCAGCTGTTTGTACTTTTGTAAGACATACATAAATGTGAAATCAAGTTATTATAAAGTTCTGTCTCATGGAGTCATAGAATGGGTTGGCTTGGAAGGGACCTTAAAGATCAGCTAGTTCCAACTCCCCTGCCATGGTCAGGGACACCTTCCACCAGACTAGATTGCTCAAAGCCCCCTCCAGCCTGGCCTCAAAAGACTACTCTTTTCAGCAATTTAATATTTGAGTGCTTGTTATATGAAGTTGTAAGTAGGAACAGCAGTGGCTGCAACTTGCATTATCAATGTAAGTTCCTATATTAATATATGACATTAAATATTGTAAGAGAGATCTTAAATTGTGTTTTCATAGCCTAGAAGCTTTTATTCCCAAGAGTTTCAAAACAATTTCTAGCTTTTTCTAACTTAATGAAAAAAAAGAAGGAAAAAGAGGGCTTTGTGCCTTTCTCATCCTTTTGTGTCTTTCTGTATTATCACAAAGCAGCTATTTTGTATCATTAAATTGATAAGAAGAATTGAGTGTATTAATATATTATAAAATATGCAATCTCTCTCTTTGTGGGAAAATGCAATATGTTTTTTACTTTTTAAAACATCTAAATATGAAGTGATTATGTTTACATGTAATTAAAAATGCTGAGTTTAACAAACAGCGCTAAGAAATTGGGGAGGAACTCATAAATTAGCCACCTGAGTTAGTAAGAATGGTAGATTGTGGGAGGAAGACGTCTGCTGAGATAAAATAGAAAGAGTAAGAGCTGTGAAGTCAAAGCTTTTATGTATTTTTGTGTGACTGAGCAAAAACATCATAACTTTAAAACTGTCTGTAAGCAATATAGAACTGAAGGACCATATAGATTTAAGTAATTGCAGAACAGAACATAACTAGCAAGACACCTTCAGGTTTTGTAGCAAAGTTCATTCATGTCTGTTGACATGGGTTTTTAATACCACAGAAAATTCTGATATCAAAATAAATCAGTAATTAGTCTTTAAGAACATTCAGTTATATACACCTGAAAAATGGATCACACTTTAGAAAATTCTGATATCAAAATAAATCAGTAATTAGTCTTTAATAACATTCAGTAAATAAAATACACCTGAAAAATGGATCACAGTCTTCTTTAACGGGACGATTTTGAATGGGTGTTGTTAAAGAGGATGAAAAATTCTATAATCCTAGTTGAGCAATTTTGTCTTTCACCTGTGTTGTATCAACATGTTACTACTAACTGTGTAATTAAATTAGTGCAATGTGAAAGCACTGATAGGCTACAATGTTTATTTTACAAGTTCTGCCTTAAATTTATCAAGGAAGTGTAAAATGTGATGTTTTCCTTTGCAGGTCACCAGTCCTTTATGGCTCCATCCTGCAGTGTCTTGCACTGCCCTACTGCATGCACCTGTAGTAACAACATTGTGGACTGTCGTGGGAAGGGCCTTACTGAGATCCCAACCAACCTTCCAGAAACCATTACTGAAATGTGCGTAAGCTCACTTTTCTTGTATGAACTCACAGAAAAGAGTTGTTTCCTATGTGTTAATTTTTGTTATTTGTGCTTGTCAAAGTTTAAAACCAGACCTTCACGATGATATTTTAATCAGCTTGTTGATATCTGACCTGTGTATTTGAACTTCACAGGATTGAAACTACTGTGGTTTCTTTTTAAGATGTGAATAATAATCACGTCTGTCAGTTCATTATGACTGTTGTTAAGATGGACCTGGCTGACCCTACCTGACCCAATTCTGTCATTCGGCTATAGAATACAAACACCACTTCTACCTTTCACCCCTCTCGTAAAAATCCCTCTGCTTGTAAATAAAGTGACTCTTTCATAAAATCCATGCACAGTTCCTGGGACTGTTTTCACAGACTGTTTTCATTATTTAATGAGTTGTATACCAGCTTTTTTACTTGGATATGTGCATCTGTGTGTATAGAGGAGGAGGAAAAATATTGCAAGAAAGAAGTAGAGAGTATGTATCAAACATTCCCTACTATATTTCTGCTGCTAACTACTGTAGCTTACCACTGATTACAGGCACTGAAGACTGACTTTTCTTTACTATACTTTATATGTAAAAAATTCTCTTGAATTTTAAGCATGGAATGGTATAATCTTCTGCAGTTTATTGTCATGGAGAGTAAAAGCAACCATGTAACTACACCTTCATCATTTAACAGACTGCAGACTGAGGCTCAATATTTGCTGCTAGGCTAGGCACTATTCAAATTCCAGGGTGAGGCCTTTTCACATTCTGAGATCCATAATCAATTAAAATATAGATGAATATGTGTGCTCATATAAATATTTGGAGTGTATATAGGTCATAGTGATACAGTGTAAACTATGTTATCTCTCTGTATTGTATCTAGTTTGTGGGTGCTGGCTAAATAAAATGGAGATCACAGTCTTTTGCTCAGTTAAATAACACCAGGCCAGAAGACATGAACATGTGTTTATTTAAAAGCTGATGTAAGAAGAGATAGAACATTAGAAAATCAAACTTCAGCAATTATTTTGTATTAAACAAGTGAATGTCGGTGTGACGACAAAACTTACTCCAGTGATTGAGATTTTGAGTGATGCAGACAAAAGAATATGGTATAAGATATGATTTGAGTCAGTGGCAGGCTGCACCTAACATGGAGTGAACAAAACTCTCCTGTCAAGTGGAAGGTAAGGAGAGAAATGTACAGGAAAAGAAATAAATAGAATAAGGCACATGAAATGCTCTGAAACTGAGGGATAAACTGAGTGGAAGAATTAGAGTAGAGGATCTCATGAGTATTTGATGAAAATTATGGGATCTTTTCTGCTTGCTTGTCAATAGGTTGAAGAGGAGTTGAAATTTTGACAAATAAATACATTTTGATAGTTATATGGGTAAAGCTTTGTGCTATACTCATTGCTTTAATGTGAAGAAAAGAATTAGTGATCGTTCTCTTATGATTCTCATGGATGGCAGGTGTATTTACCTTCTTAGCATCAAAGAGAATAAGAGAGGTTGGAAAATGAGTAGTTTGTGGAGTGAAGAAGGTTTTATCAATAATGAAGTGAGGGAAATCTACGAGACAATCAAACCAGCAATCCACCTTGGCCAGTTGTCCTTGTCAGTTGTTCCTGTAGAATGTTTTGGAAACAAAAATACACAACTTCAGAAATAAAACACAAATAGCACAAATATTTTCTTTGCTCCCAAAGTGTGTTGGGATTCTTCTGAAACTTGAAAATTTTCGGAATCAGGAAAATAAAAGTTTTCTTTGAAATATCCAATCTGCTTTAAACTCCACTATGTTCTAAATCTTCATGTTATTTAAGTTAATAACTTTGGGGGGAGGGAGCTGCGCTCAACATCTTCCAGTTTAAATTACAGTCTTTTTAAGTTTCATTACTGTTCCTTTGTTGTTGTAGAGGGAAGGAAAATGCATTCAGGTTCATAATTTCTCGTCACCTGCTGTTTTGCATGCCACCCTCATTTGCCTCTTTTGTGAGCTAATTTTTCCCAATCTTTTTGGATGCCAACATCTTCCATGTCTTAATTCATCTCCTCCTTTTTCTCTGAATTATTTGTTTTGACCTGCAATGTCCAGACTTGAATACAATATTCCAAATGGTAGTGAACCATTGGGGTTTTATGAATGGAATTTTAGTTTTCTCTCATTTGTCTGTTGCAACCTAATACTCACTTGCATTATTTAACTGGCAGTACATGTTGCACCATATTTTTCATTGAACTATCCATGCAGAGTCCTAGGCCTTTTTTCTTAACTCATGATTTTGTCAGGAACCAGAAGTTTGTAGATGTAATCCTATTACCCCATCCACACACATTTCTGAGCATTGACTCAGGTTGTATGTCACTTTTGAAAGCTGCTCTATGAAAGACTTCAATCCTCTCTGCTTTTAGCTAACTTCAACACACAGAAAGATTATGACATTCCTGTATTTTTATCATACAATAAAAAGTGTTTTAAAGCTTCATTTTAAAAGAAGTACTTTGCAGCTGCTGCTTATAGCAACCCCTTGAGATTAGATTGGATAGAATGATTGTATCCCATAAAATAATCTCTTTTTTGACTTATTCCTTAGGTGATAATGTTGTCAGTGTGCCAAAATGGTAACTGACAGTAAACACTTGAAGAGATGAGACCACGCTGTCATGGTAGCATTAAGAAAGCTGAGAAGTTGCTGAATGCAAGGCAGAAGGATATAGTGAGCACTGTTTTTCCATCACTGCTATACATTTCTCCCACATGCCTTTATTACCTTAATCACCATTTTAAGCACATGCTTCGGCAGGAGCTTCTCAGTTCTCAGGGAGAGAAGGAAAGAGAAATGTGCTTGTTCTCTGTTGTTTTCTGAAGGATGTACAGGCTTTAACAGCCAAATTATTATTTATTCACTCATCGTAGCATCACCAGATTCTTCTGCACACTGCAAGAAAATTGGCATTATACTTCTATTTTGCCTGGGCAAGATGTTGTCCAGTCTTTTCAGTACGTTTCCTTATTTGTCAGTCCTTTCCTGCATTTTCAGCTGAACATTGTCATCTGATTTTCATACTTCATTGATAGGAACATTTGAAAATCCCCAAGGTTTTTAATTTCCTTTACTCTGAACAAGTTTCTTTGCCCTCTCTCCCCTGTTTATAGAGGCTGTATTTGCATAATCCATTGCTGAGTACTACCAGCCTGTCATGTTATGCTTCAGCCAACTTCATGGTCCACAAACACCTCTGGTGATTACATCTTTCCTTCCTTTTGTCTTTGCTTTATTGTATTTCATGTGGATAATGTTTTCCTGTGAGGCTGACATTAAACTTTATTGTCAGCCCTCTTTTATGGAGCTGTTTAAAATTTGACAGCTTATTTTTGTGAGATTTTATTTTCCATCCATTTCTTCCTCTCATTTCTTTGTTCCTATATGGATAGCAGCTTACTTTTAATAAGAATATAATCCACGTTTACATTTTGAAGATACCTAATCCCTTTTTTATGTTTCTGGAAGTTCTTTTGAAATTTTCCTTCAATCAATGCTCATAGTTTTGTGATACTTTGCCATCTTCTCTCTCCATTTCTTCCATCCTTTCTCTCTATGGCAAGCCTGACCTCGGTCAGCTCTTCAGTCCCTATGCAGCAGTGATTTCTTTCTCTTTCCCAAAACAAGTTTTCTTTGAAAAAATGTTGTCTGATCTGTTTCTGCACAGAAAAACCTCAGTTACAATGTCAGTCCATCTGGGACAGTGCTGTATAAAACCTAAGTGGTATTAATAAATGTTGCTATTCTCTGTCCTGATGTATATGCTTAAACTTCAGGTTTAAAGTGTACATTCCATGTTGACAATTTTATACCTTTTTATTTCTCCAGAAGGTTGATAAATTAACTTGTATCCGAACAATGTGTTAAAACCCCATAAATGGAATACTGAATTTCTTAAGTATTAAACATTGGCAGTTTCAAATTCAGTAAAATTTTGCATGTTAAAGCTCTGAGTGAATTCTCTGGGGAAAAGTAGAAGAAAAGGGTTTCTGTTTAGAGTCTAATGTCATGACTTTACATTGCTCTGATAGCTCTACTGTCTTGGAATGCTGGTTTAAGACCCTAGGAGCTGTTTCTCTGCTGATGGCTACTGCTTCTGTAGCAGAGCTGGCAAGGAGACTGTGTGTTTGCACTGCACTGCAGCCTCCCTGTCTCTGAGTTTGGTGTGATAGCCTAAACCACTGAGAAAAATGAGTTAGCACTGGAAGCTGAAGCCGTTGAGGAACGAGCAGGCGTTCTGTGATGGTAGGAGCAGGAGGTGGGGCCAGTTGCCAAAATGCTGTTTCATTCCAGCGTAGTTGGATTTACTGGTGACTGTCAGGGTGTTGCTGAGAGAGTTTTGTCATACTGCTCTGTCTGACTTCTCAATTGGTACAGAGATCAGTTGGCTAAACCCAGGAATTGCTGTTGCGTGATGTCAGTTAGCAGGCAATGCATTGTCTGCCAAGTGCCTCTTGGGAAGATGCCTTCAGAAACAGGACTGCTTATCTCCAAGTGGCTGCCAGTGAAAATGGGAGAATAAAGCCTGTGGTGTCCTCTATTTTTCCCCTCTGTGTGATAAAGCTTGGAGCAAAATGAAGTATTCAGCATCTCAGTATATGTCATTCTTAATCTTTATTGACTTAATACAATTGTGTCAGTACCAGTTACACCCTTTCTGCAAAATTAATCCCCTCTTTATTATCTAAATAAACTCACACACAGCTAAATAAGAATATCTAAGCCTTTCCATTCATGATCTGTCTGATCAATATGATATTATTTGAGAAACAAATACTTTGTATTCCATATATATTTTAAAACCCAAAATATTTGGTCAAGTACCAAAACTCCTCTAGTTTTAGTGCACCTATGAATAATACAGGAAACAGAAAATTCGAAAGGTGCACAGATGCACCTTTGCCTCCAGGCCAAAGGAAGAGGTTTCATATGATGAG